GAGGGAGGACACGGACATGAGGGCTGACTGAGAGGGTACATGGCTGTGAGGGGGGCATGATGTGAGAGGAGGATGAAGGCTGACTCTGGGGGACACAGCTTTGAGGGCTGACTGAGGGGGAACGTGGCTATGAAGGGAGGTGAGGGATGACTAAGGGGGGACATGGCTGAGAGAGGAGGCGAGAACTGACTGAGGGGGAATACGGCCACAAGGGCTGAGTGAGGGGGGACGCAGATGTTGAAGGGAGGTGAGGGCTGACTGAGGGGGGACATGATGTGAGGGGGAGGATGAGGGTTTACCCAGCAGTGAGTGCTGACTGAGGGGTACCCAGCAGTGAGTGCTGACTGAGGGGTACCCGGCAGTGAGGGCTGAGTGAGGGGGACCCAGCAGTGAGTGCTGACTGAGGGGTACCCGGCAGTGAGGGCTGACTGAGGGGTACCCAGCAGTGAGGGCTGACTGAGGGGTACACGGCAGTGAGTGCTGATAGAGGGGGTACCCAGCAGTGAGCGCTGACTGAGATCGGCGCGGGCGCTCCTCACCTCTTTGATCTTCATCCTGCGGGCGCGGGTCTCGGGGTCCTCTCCGGTCCGCCCGCCCCGCACCGGGTGCCGGAGGCTCCGGCGGAACCGCTCGTAGTCGAAGCGGAACGGAGCCCGCGTCTCCCGGGCGGGGGTCGCGCCGGTGGCGGGCTCGGGCCGCCCCTCGCCGCCCTGCACCTGCTGGCGGGCGCCAGGCGCGGTGCGGGCCGGCGGGCCGGCCATGCGGGCGGCGGTGCGGAGCTTCTCCCGCAGGCGGCGGGGGGCGGCGGGGCTGGCGTGGCGGGGCTCGGCGGCGGCGGGGGGGCTGCGGGGCAGGTCGGTGTCGCGGGTGGAGGAGGAGGAGGCGGAGGACGAGGAGGCGGAGGATGAAGAGGAGGCGGAGGCGGTGGCCCGGCGGGGTAGGAAGAGGCGCTTGAAGCGGGAGGAATCGGGCAGGAGGAAGAGGGCCCCGAAGCAGAGCGTGAGCAGGCCCGAGAGGAAGAGCAGGAACAGGAACTTCTGCGGCAGCCGCAGCCCCAGCGCCGCCGGCCAGCCCGGCATGCCCGGCAGCTTCCGCAGCACCACCATGGGGCACCGGATCGCGGCCGCCGGGCGGGACCCGCCGCCGCCGCCGCCGCCCCGGGGAGCGCCGCGGGCTCCTGCGGCCAAAGGCTCAGCGGTGCCCGCCCGCACCACCGGCCGCCTTCACCGGGGACCGCACGTGGGTGTCTCCGGGCCGGGCGGAGCGGCGGCTCAGCGTCCCCCCTGCCGGCATGAAGGCGGCGGCGAGCGCATCCCGCCGGAGCCGGGCTGGGCTGGGCTGCTCCCGGCGGCGCTCCCCGTGCAGGCTCCCCGCCGGACGGACGGACGGACGGACGGACGGCTGCGGTGTGGGGCTGGCTCAGGCAGCGGCGCCGGGGAGGTGCGAGCCGGTCTCTCTAGGCGGTGGGTTCATGCTGCAGCATTTCTGCGGGGCGGAGGGGGGGGAGAGAGACAAGAGCGCGGTCATTGAACACCATCGAAGGAGGCAGCCGGCGATACAAGGCTTTTGTCCCCTGTCCGTCCCCCGCCCTCCAGCTGCACTAGTTCGCTTTCCCTCTCTCCGGACTTGCCATCAACTCTCCAGTCCGCGAGCAGCTCCTGCTCTGCACCATCTCCCTTTCCAGCTCCGCGCTGCTGGGCTTGGCTGGTGGGGAAGCCCGGGGGGCAAGAGGGGCAGCGAGAAGCTCCTCTCTGACGAGGAGCGAGAAGCCCGGGAGAGGCAGGATGCCCTGGAAAGCGCAGGATGCCCTGGGACATCCCGGGAGGGGCAGGATACCCTGGAAGGGGCAGGGTGCCCTGGGACACGGCACAGACAGACAGAGACGAAGCTGCTCCGCTCCTCTCCAGGCTGCCAGGGGCTGCCTTCACCCGCGCAGGGCTGGGGGACGATGGGGCTGCAAACCAGCCATGCGGAAAGCTCGGCTCGGGCTGAGCTTCTTGAGGCAAAAAAAAAAAAAAAAAAAAAAATTTAAAAAATTAAAAATCTACGGGTTTTGGTTTTGCTAAAATAGATGCCGGCAAATTCCCTCTTTCCCCCAAATCTCTGCTTGGCTGTTAGAGTTATCCACACCCCCACACCAATCCCCTCCTTATGGGAGAGACAGAGCTCAACTTTCAGACCCTGAAAGCAAGCAGGACACGGCTTTAAACCCCTACCCTACAAGCCCCCAAAACACCCCTTCTCCTACGGGCAGGGACAGCGCTGCCCCCCCAAAACACGCCGCCAGCCCCGCTTGGCGGATGCTTTCCTACCCCCAGCGCTGTTTTACTCACCCCTCTGACAAATCCAAGCCTCTCCGGCTCCTACAGTGAGCAAAAATCTTCTCAGTCCTGCCCGCTCATCCCAAACAGCGAGAGCCCCTCTCTCGCTGCTGCCAGCGCTCAGTTAGGAAAGGGAAGAAGCTGGGCTCTCCGGGGGACAGCTGCGCTCTCCCTGCCCACCCAGGCACGCAGGAGGGGAATGTCTAACTGCACTGAGCTACTTGGATGCCTCTGCTTTTCACCTCGGAGGGGACCCGCGGGGCCGCTGTCGCCGCCCGGTGCCCCCTCACGGCAGCACCGCCCGCCGCTCACTGCGACAGCGCCGGGGCACCGCCCCCTGCCACGCCCCCCGCCACGCCCCCGCCCGCCAACGGTCACCCCGCCGCCACCGCCAGCCAATCACCGCGCCGTGCCCCGCCCACCCTCGCTCGCTATTGGCTGCCTAGCTCACCTCGCCTTTTCCATTGGCTGTTCGGCCTGTCAGACAAGCCGCGGGGCCCGCCCTCTTGTTTACCACAGTTGCCCGGCTCCGGCTCGCGGGGCGGCGGGCCCCGCCCCTTTCCTCCAGCGGCGGCCTCCCATTGGCTGTGAAGAACGCGCCGTGTCCGCTGTGATTGGTGGAGGGGGGGCGCAGCTACTTTAAAAAGGGGCTGAGGACGCGGCGCGGCTCCAGACGCTGTGAGGGCTCGGCAGGTGTCGGGTGGAGGTAGTGCTGCTTTTCCTTCACTTCACACCTTGTGAGGGCTCTGAGGGGTGAATTTACCCGGCACAGCCCGCCCGAGGTCTGATGTTTGCCAGAAGGGCAAAATTCACAAGATGAGATTCCTACCCGGAGGGTGACATGGCCCTGAGGGCATTGCCTCAGTGCCTGATAGGAGAAGCGACCTCAGAGGGGGCAGGTTGGAAACCACCTTTCTGGTTTTTATGAGCACAGCCAAATGCAGTGAAGCACCTCTGAACCCCAAATCCTTAAATCCTCACCCTTAACCTTCAAGGTACCACACCAAGTAAATTTGAAATGGACCCTGTGGGGTAATACTGTACCAGAGGGAAAGACAGTGAAACAAAGCTGCTGCTCATAAATGTTACAAAAACAGCCCCAACCAAAACCTGCGGAATTAGCATTGAAAGAGAAAAAAGGGTAACACCCAAACCCGGCAGCACCTGGAACTGATCAGGAACAGCTGGATGGGCGGAATGGGGCCCCAGAGGTGGGATTTGGGTGCTGTGGGGTAGGATGAGGCTCCCAGGAAAGGGTAAACGCAGCCACCGGAGCATGGCTGTGACTAAACTTGGAAGAGCTAAAAGAGAACATTTTGTAGGCTGGAAAGGAGCTGGAGCTGAGAGGAAAGAAATCATCTGCTGTTTGCGTCTGCCTGCGCGCAGTATGTGCCTTCTGCACAAACAACCAACACCGCAGGGGAGAAATACCTGAGCTGATTGCAGGGCCCCAGACTTTGAACTGCTCGGCTGAGTATCAGAAACATAACTGTGTAACTGTATTGTCATTTTCCTATGGAAAGCACTTTAAGCAGGTAGCAGAACCACTCTAGGAGCAGGATTCTGGAGCTGCTCCTGACGCAGCCATGCCCAAGCATCATCTTTACCTTCACCTTCCTCCACGCCTCCACAGCCTCTGCAGGTTTTCCTCTTGTCAAAATAAACCTGAAAAACCTTGTGCTTTTAGCTCTAGTGGCTGCCCGCTGGACCTTGAACGCCGGTGGCCACCCCTCGGAGGCAAATTTGCATCTTGATTGTTTGGGTTTGAAATCGCCCTTTCAACCATCGCCTGCGGTTCGGAGGCAGGAGCTGGTTGAGCACGAGGGAGATTTGGGCACCACCGCTCACCCACTGCGTTTGGTTTCCTCCGGAGCAGCTGCTGGAGGAACGCTCGGCACAGCTGCTCTCCCTTCCCTGCCCTGTAGCTGCACCGTGAGGGAGAAGAGGAGGAGACTCAGCCACTTCATCTTGGCAGGTCGCACAGGAGCTCGCGGAGCACGGCAGATGCTCCACAGGCTCCTCGGAGCCCAGGGGAGCAGCTTGTAAAGGACGATTTGATTTTGCTTCTTTGCCCGGCTTCACAAGGAGAAGGGGAGAACCCTGAGAGCCAGCTGCCAGTTCCAGTATTTTGAGCATGGATGCAGTTTGGCAGGGCTTTTACTGCTGACCTGCCTCGTGCAACCCCCCAGGGAACAGCACCAGCAAGGCAGCACCGCTCCATGGGCTTCCATCGCCCCTTCTCCCCACACCTAGCATCTGCCCCAGCCTCATTGAATGGAAATAATCCTTCATCTTCCTTAAATCTCCTCTTTCCCTTGGGAGACCTCACACAGCAGGCTGCATTTTTTCTCAGCCTTATAAAAAAAAAAAACAAACCACCAAACCCAAACCAACCAAACAAAACGCCACCAAACACCAAACCCCTCCAACTATTCCGGTGGTGGTCCCTTGATCCTCTTAGACATGGCCCCAGGATGGGAAAGGTTGGATAGCTCCGCTTCCTAAGAGGATTTGGGGGCATCAAGGAGGATAATAAAAATCGACAGCAGAGAACAAACCAGAGGGATAATAAAACAGACAGTTCTGAGCAAACGGAAGGGCTACGCCTCCCTCCTCATTTCAGGCAGCGGCGACGGAGAAGTTGGAGGCTTATCTTTTAATTAGGTTAAATTAGGAAATCTTTTTGTTTTGCTTTGTGTTTAGCATAACATTGTCTTGGAGGTAAAAGCTCAGAAATGGAAGGTTTTCTAGATTAGGTTAAATTAAGATATTATGCTTCTTAAAGAAGACAAAGCATTGTCTTCAAGGTAAATGTTTAATTACATTTTAAAAACAATTTTGTCCGTGTAATAATAAGACAGAGCCCAGCTCTGCCTGTGACTGTGGTTCCAGATGGAAGCCAAATAAATTGAGAAATTGGTGTTGAAGGAGTTAGGAGGCAGAGTGTAATTACTGGGAAGATGGGGGTCCTGCTGCATTATGATTCTTGTTTTTAGCAGGTCTGGAAGAAATAATTTGGAGAAAATTACTTTTTTTTTTATGGCCATAAGAAAAGTAGAATTTAATATCCACCTTTCTATGAGGAAGGAAACTACAGAGTGATAGATAACACTCAAGGCAAAGGAGTTTGGCCCGATAATTGCACTCAACCCTCCAGACTCTCTTTTAAAGAGTCTTGATGTTTATTTTGCTCTCACTGCAGAAAATGCTCCCGTTGTGGCTGCAGGAGAGGCCGGGATGCCTCATGATGCTGGAATAGCACTCCAGTTATTCCCCAGAAAGCCCTCTCTGGCTCTCAGAACCACTCCAGCTGGTGATTTTTAGGCATCACAGTGATGAAAGGATAGAGCAGGGAGATGGGAAGAGAGGCTCTGTGGTGAGGGCAGCAGGGTCAGAGTTACTGTGGTTCTGCGAGAGAAAAAAAGGAAAGGGAAAGAAAGAAAGGGAAAAAAAGAAGGGGAAGGAGGGAAAGGAGAAGGCAGAGGAAGGAAGGCAGGGAGGAAGGCAAAAAAGGGAAGGGAAGGGAAGGGAAGGGAAGGGAAGGGAAGGGAAGGGAATCAACCCAACAACCCAGCCTTGTTTCACTGTAATGGAAAGGGATAGAACATCTAAAAGCATCCTCAAAACAGCACAGCCTCAGCATGTAAACCAGACACCCAAACTCTGTTGACAGCTACTACAAAGTACAGATAGTGACAACAAAACCTGCTGGAGCTGCCAGCTTTAGAGAGGAAGGGCTCCTTTACCTCCCGAGGAACAAGCGCGGCGGTGACAGAACAAGGGGCCACCTTTGGAGGATTCCTGACACCTCACCGTGGCGTGGAGCCCAATTTGTGGCCCAGCTTTCTGCAGCCTGATCTGAGGAGCTGATGAGTCCCCCCCGTGCTGGGAACAGAGGGCTCCTGCTGCGTGGGATGGATGTGGCTGTTCCCAGTTCCCACTTCCCACCCCGGGCTCTTACTCACCCGTGGCCCAGTGGGGAACGTTTCGGGGAGGACAAAGCTTCTGAGGCATCTTCCTCCTCCGTGCAGCCCCAAGGCAGCTGTTCCCCACTGCAAGCAGCAAGGTCTGATATTATTCAAAGCATAGATGTGTCAGTCTCCCTGCAGTTGTGATCGGATAAGGGGAAATCCATACATTTAAACCAGCTGATCCATTACACAAACAACAGCCCCCAAACTTCTCCAAGCAGGGAGAATGAGCAAAACAGTCCCCGATGGCCTGTAATGACTCAGGGCAGAAGAAATCCGTCTGGTATTGATTATTTTAAGGTTTTAGAAACACAAGCAGAGGGCATGAGGCTGTGGAGAAGCCTGGATAATTAAGAGCCTCGTTATCTGCTCCATGAATGTGGGCTGCCGGGGTGTTTAACCTGGGAGAGTGTGATCCTTACTTAAGGACCAGGGAGCAGGGAGCATGACTGCTTAGATTAAACCATGTGCTGATGGATTACTAGGATTGTTTCCGTAGGAATTATTCTAATAAAACACTGAAAGGCTAAACTGTAATAATAATCCAGCAGGTGATGGCAATATCACCTGTGCAGGGTGGATGTATTGACAACAGAGAGGGTTTCCTCTGCCAACCTGCACATGGTGTGAGAAAACTAATGTATAAAGTGGGTGATAAAGGCAGAAGAAGGAAAGAAAGGGAAGGAAAGGAAAGGATAAAGGTATAGAAAGACATGCTTAAGGCTTGGCTCCTTGGAGCAGCCTTTCTCCTCCTCCTCCTCCAAATGATCTCATCAGCATCTAGTGACCATCCTGTGCTGCCCAGGAGGAGGTTTGCAGGCTGGAAGGTACAAGAACGGATAAAGCAGTAGTGGATTTTGCCCTGATTTAATTCAGTTTGTGCTGTGCAAGAGGACAAATTTCATGTGATAATTTTAATGAGCTTAATGTGTAGAAAAAATGGATACTTAGCCCCCCAAACCCTCAGAATTTAGAGGCAACATCACACATATCTGCAGGTTTGGGTGCTTTCCCTTCAACTCCACATTCAGGCATATAAGATATTAATTATCTGAATTAAGACTCACATTTAGGGATGCACAGAAGCCTCGCTGAGAATTCCAATGGTTCTCTGCTAGCAGGAAACATTTACACAATATAAACCCCACCACCTCAGCCAGGCTTATATTTTATCTCAGAAAAAGGGAAAAAAGCCATTCACATCTGAGATAACAACCTGTTCTGTGTCTCTTAAACCAGAATTGTGTAGGAATGAGCTTTCATCAGAGAAAGAATCTTGCTTAATTATGGTGAAGGTCTCAACAATCTTACCTCCTCTGTGCCAGGGAAAACGTAAAACAAGCTAAAAAATAGTACAAAAGCAGAAACATAGCAGAAGGTGCATGGAGAAAAGAGCAGAAACAGTTCTAGTTTATTACTTTCTTGTAATACCAGGTGACTAATGTAGCAGCCTGCACATTTTTTCCCCATTAAAATCAGCATCATCAGAATGTCTGTGTTCCATTTTCCCCTACTTAAGTAAGGTAAGGGCCACGAGAACGCAATGAATCTGCTCTTGTGAATGTGGAGCAACAGCCTATTTTAGATGGCTTCAGAAATAAGATCCCAAGTGGAAAAAAGTCTAAGAATAATTTTCAGCCCGAGACTTGACTTGTCAGAAAATGCAGTTCAGGCAAAGCAGAACTGCAGGTGAATCCGTGATGAACTCGGTGAAACAAACCCAGTTTTCCACAAACAGAAGCATTGAGAAAGCCCAGTAATCTTAAACCAAACTTAAATATTTGTGTTGGGTGTCAAAAAAGCCTCCAGAGTCAACCCAAGAAGCAGTTTGTGTAAGATGTGATGGTCCTAATGGCCTCCTGGGATTGAATTACCTGCTGCCTATAGGAGGTTTTCATCTGGAGTTGTTTGGAACAGAGAGGTCTCCCTTTTTTTGAGGTAAAATCTGGCTATCCAACATTTCCTAGCAGACATCTGAACTGTTTGGGAAGAGCCCAGGAGGTGACAGACCCATCTGACATCAATGGGGACTGAGAACAGCTAAAAGTGTGCCAGGAGACCCTATTTGAGAAAATACAGGAATTTTCCAGCTGGAGAAGGAGCCAAGCAGACCAATGCTTTTGGAAACTGCCAAGCTTCCTAGTAGTCATTAAAGACTGGTTCAGTTTTTAAGGAAAATAACCTCCCAAAGGGTGAATTTCCACTTATTTGACGACCATCTGTGCAGTCCATCGTCTGTCCTGCCTCCAGAGGCATCCCCACGTGCCAGCAGCTACCCCTGCTCTCCCCCAGTGTGATAATCTCTGCTCTCCTCAAAGGGGTGGGCTGGGTTTGCTCTGAGAACGTTGTCACGAATGCATATTTCACACACACAAAAAAAATCTTCTTTCATCATATAAATATATCCTGCTGTTGCTGCTTTTTAAAAGTGAATTTCAAGGCAAGCCAGAAAATAACAACCAATACCTTCAAACGCTGGGAAGATTAATCACCATGTGGGAACACGGGAAGAAAAGCCTTTCTGTTCATCATATTCATTGTCCACAGACTAGAAGACAAAAAATGAAAAACCAAACCAACAAACCCATATATTCTTTTGGTTCTGCTCTGTGTTTTGGCCAAAGATGAAACACAGCCATACATTTTCATTACCTGCCTCAGAGCTCTCATGGTTTATATCAGCCCCACTGCCCCAGCTGCCCCCTCGGTTAATAATTGTGCCACAGGGTCAGTGATTTCAGCAGAGCTGTGACAGTTTTCAGCTCTGGTGCTGAGTCTGAAGAGGATCCTGCCCGACGGGGAGAGTTTTAGATGAGGATTAGTGTGTGAATTCTTCTGGACTAATAGATAAGTGCTACAATAATTTAGGACAGATTTCCAGCTTGTGGTTAGCAGACCCTTGGGGTTAATACACTGCTCAGTAGCAATCTATTAAAAAATACTGGAGAAAAAACCAATTTCATATAAACCATATGGGGAGATACACAGAGGACGTTTGTCTTTAGGAGACAAGTCAAAGACTAAAACCTACCAGTTTACACACATTGCAAAGAAATTTATCAAAGCAGCTGTTACAGGACAAGCAGTTTTGGAATCTTTCAGCAAGAGATAACAGTATGAGAAACTTTATGGTCAGATTATTAATCAGAGTTGTTAGATTTGATAGCAAGGGATAACTCTGTGAGCCACGGAGGTCCTCTGGCCATTTGTCCACAGGCAGGGTAAGTTACTGTCCAACACTGCTGATTTTAATTGGATTCTCTCTGACACTTTTTAGGAAATCCTTGATAAACTCAGTGGATCAAATTTTCGACCCCTCTTGATTGTTTTCCTGAAGTGATGCAGAGAGACCCTGAGTGGGCTGCAGAGTCACTCCCCTGGTCAGTGAGAAGCCTGTGAGCAAACAGATCCATCTTAGAGCCAGAAGTATTTTCCCCCTTGCCCTGGTGCCAGGCTCATTTCCCTTAAACTTTAATGTCTATGAGCCAGGCCATTATGAGCCAGGCCAAGAGAAATAAGGACACCTCAGAGCATTTGAATGGGATAACATAAATATTTCCATTATAGGGAAAAGGAAGCATTTCCAAAGAGCTAAAAGTCATTTAAACTGTGGTGCTGCAATGAAAATTCCAGCTTATAGCTCTCTATATTGGCCATCCTCGGGTGACCACTAAGGCTTGGCTAAAATCATCTGTCAACTGTGGCTCAGGCTGGAGGGTGAAGCAGATCAGGAGATCCCTTTGGGCAGTTATTTTAAGATTAATACATAGATTCCAGGGCATTTTATTGGCACCACTCAGATGTCACCAGCCTCCTTCTGGAGTGATGCAAAGCTGCCAGGCTATTGATTGGGATAAATTGCACAGATCCTGGTGCCTGCCAGGTGAAGCCCCTCCCCAGGGACTTCCAAGGTAAGCAGAATTTAAACCTCTTCCAAGGAGGTCAATAGTACGTAGGGAAAAAAGAAAATATCAGGTTAATGGGGCAGATGTTCCAGCAACTAAATGTATTTCTATTCCCTGTAGAGAGGAGTAGAAGTTGTTGAAGCGCTTTGCCAAATTACAGAATTACCCTTTTCCCTGCCCAGCCATTAACCAAAACAGGAAAGCAGAGCCCCTGCGGAGTTCAGCGTTTCCAGGGTGGGAATTCCTGTGCCAGATCATCAGGATCCAGGCCAGAAAGAGGAGCTAAGATTTTAAACCATCACAGGAAGTCATCAGCTAAAGCCAGGAAAGAAGATTCCGCACTTTGCAGACGCGCTGGTGTCACAGTCCTATTTTGCAGGTTATTTTTTTTCCCCTCAGAAAGGCAGGATTGTTGCTCTTTTTTAAAAATAAACTTGAGTGCCCATGTCCCCCCTCAAGGCCAAATCCCTTCAGCTGGTTCTGCTGGACACCGCACTGAGCTCCCTGTCAAACACTGAAATATGGAAAGGGCTCAGTGCGGCCCAAAATAACTTCTAAGTCACCTTCAGGGTGAAGTTCATCCATCCCGACCTGAGAAACAGGTCACTCCAAACCTCGCTCGGATGAATCACTGTCTGCACTATATTTATCCCGAGCCTGGGGAGGTCTGCACCAAATTGTTGACATTTTACCAGTCTGAGCCCAGTGAGCAGAGATGTCCCACCTGCCTCGTGGCATCTGCAAGGGCATGGCCTGTAGGTGCCTCGTCATCCCAGCCCTGGAGAGGACACTGCACTCTCCTGACAGAGGAGCTCCCTTTTCCAGTATCATCCAGTATCCTGATTGTGGGGCTTTGCTGGTGCCAGACAACCAGCACAGCCCCTCTGCTGTGGTGGGAGAGAGGGAGGTTTCGTCCTCCAGGTTGCTGCTGACTTCAGAAACGTCCTCAGAGGCCTCTCAATTTTTCCTGGATCAGTATAAAATAAAGCAATTTCTTGGTGCTGAAGCCCTGTGAAACAGGAAAATGCTTTTCCTTACTGGTGTCTCCGGGTGGTCCCAGCCCAGACTCACCACCTCGTCATTCCACATCTGTTGTGGAAGAGGTCCCATGGAATGACAAATCTCATAGCTGGACCCACAGATCCCACTATATTTCAGCTTCCCTTTTCCTACCTTAAGCTTGCACACAGGGCAATACTTAATCCATGTGAAAGAAGAAAAATCTTCCTTGGATCCTCATCCAGGATAAGCAGTTCCTCTTCAAGGACCCCAACAAACCCTGTATAGGTC